TGGAAATAGAGAGCAGAAGACATGGTGATAATGAAGTGGTTCTTCTGATATAGAACAGAATAATACACAGAAACTTTCCACCCTGGCTTCGGTCAGGCACCATTACAAGGATTTGTGTTCGTAGTTATTATACAGCCTGTTGACTTGAAGCATCTGAGGTTGTCCAGTAACAATAATAAATAAGATTACATCATATAGAGTGCTTTTGGTTCTTCTTTCTTGCTTGTGTGGCAGTCTACAGACATTGACTGCATTTTTCTGTTTATAAGATAATTTCCATCCAAGTTTGGTTACGGAGGACAATCTGTAGTTAGGATGTTATATTTTCAATATGGGCTCAGTACACGAATTTTGTCAGTACACGAAAATACCAATATTCCTATATTTGATTTCTTACTGCTTCCAGAACCAAGCTTTATGGCAATTTAAATCTCACACTACAGTACGCTGGGGAAAAAGAATTAATCTAAGAGTAACCTTGAAAAGATTTACAGGTTTTTCTTTATGTGGATGAATAATCCTATTAGCCATAATGGGTATGCATTCTATCCTCCTTACACAAAGCTAAATATATTCATAAATGTTCATTGGGTAGGAGCCTGAACATTTTGGATTATGAACTGGAATAAATGTCATGACATTTCTAAGCAGGAGAGGTCATTTACAATCTTTCAATTACTATGATCAAGATCAGTGAACTTTCAAGCATATTTCAGCAAAAAAAATTGAGAATAATTTACAAGTTTTGCTAGTTGTCTAGAGTGTTACTGTGCAAAGGGATCTTACATCAGTAAATAAAAGAAATTACATCTTCTAAAAGATAGATTACGTCTATTTTCTCAGATACATAGAGTGGAGTGTGAGTGGTATTTCAGAATACTATTCTCACCATTGAGAGGAACAGAAGTGAAAATCTGACAAAGCAGCCTAGGTTCTCAAATTACAAGCAGTAAATGATGGCCATATATTTAACATCTAAGTAAAGACCGAAAGAAATGGTGGAGAATATTGGCTCACATCTTCTTAGTATTGCTGCTACCAGTGATGAAAGTACAATAAAAAGGGAGCTGCGCCACATAGCAAAATGAAGACAGCAATAGAAAATTGCCTTAACAAGCTTGTTTCCAGTGTATTTTGAACATAACACTATTGCATTTGACTAGAGTAAAAATTCTTGATGTCCTCTACTTTGTTGCAGAGTAATTTTTAAATTGCCCAGCTGTGTGCCTAGTGCCAATCATGTTTCTGAACTTGAAGAAGCTGTTTTCTCCATATAATTATGAGAGGCATGTGATTACTATATAATCTGTTTTCAATAGAATGTCAAGATACCTCTAAATGCTCTCTAAATCCAGTCATTACCTTGAAGCTTGTACTTATGAGAGTTATCAAAGTTTAGACCTTAATGCAGTTATAGCTGTGCTCAGTGAGTTAATAATAGCACTAATAGGTGGTCCTGGATGTGAATACATGGCTTTGCTAGCATTGCAAGACACATGCAGCAAATTCAGCATATTGTGATGCAGATGGACAAAGGAAATTTACACAAAGGAAATTTACATACAGACCTCTGCTATGGACATAGCTGTCCTGGCAGAACAAGTGTTTATTATAAAATTCTCATTTTAAGGTCACTTGGATATATAAGAATAAAAATCATTATTTTAATAAAAGACCTACAAAACATATATTAAAACATAAATGAAGTTAGTATTTACATGAAAAATTATAAAAGCTCATTACTCCTTAGTCAGTCCAATCAGTAATCTATAAATATTTTTTCTTTTATTTTATAAGCATGTTATATTTATCTTGTTATTTCTTGGTAATTTCCTCCATTATTTTACATCCTTAAAATGCTCAAAGTGGAATTCATATTGATGAAATGCACACAGTTTATAAAACAAAATCACAGTATCAAACCTTTACAAACATTAAATACAAATGCTATTCAACTACAGTCTCGCTAGGAAAGAGACAAACCTCTTGCTAAGAAAGAGACAACCTCTTTCACTGCTTGCTCAAAGGTGAGTATACATGGAACCAGACAGACCTCCTTTAGCCGAGGAGTCTACAATTGGTGTTCTTATAGAACAATGGTTCCCATCCTTTTTTTGACCAAAGACCACTTGACCAGGGACCACTCTGACCAGGGACAACTTTCCAACGTTAGTACCAATTGGGTTACGAATCAGTTTTTGGTCAACTTTAGATTCAGTTTGGTTTTTTGGAGTGCTGATTCAGAAAACTGCATTGGATAGACCACATCAGCTCTAGTTTCTCATATAGAACATATGCCATCCAGTAGTCGCCATCTGCTCTCCCAAAGAAAACCATATTTAATTATCTAGAGCTGATGTGATAGTAGTAATATTTCATAGGTAGTTAGCCTCTTCCCTCCTGACATCCCTGTTTCCTCAGCACTATAAGAGGGTTTAGCGAGACCAGTCACTCTCATTGCCATGTGGTTTCGAGGCAACAGTGTAGAAATGGTGAGACCATGGATCATATTTTCATTCTTGCGGACCACAGGTTGGGAACCACTGTTATAAAAAATGCGGTAGTACTTTCTGGAGCAGTGCTGTTATTAACAAATAAAATGGCAAAGAAGCAACTCTGGATTTCAGGGTTGGAAAAATAGTGTGATAAGTTATAAGGACTTACTCAGTGAAAATAAGGCCCATTTGGGACATTTTGGAGCCTCAGGAAAAATCTAAATGATGCACACATAAAAAGTAAATGCTCTTAATGGCATGCCACCTCACTTTGTCTAATGGCCTGGCTGAACCTGAATGGAAAGAAACTTGATTTTGACTTAGAATGTAGTTTATCTATGGCATCCATATATGTCATAGAAATTTTGTATTTTGTCTGTTTGTTTTCTTTGTTCTGTTAGAAATGTAATATAATTGACTGGTTGCCCTGACACGACAAATAAATATAGAAAGATAGCCAATCAGGTAGAAGGATCTGGATTATCCAGATATATCCTGGGTTTCTTCTGCCTATTAACCGGTTAAAAGGCTAAATTAATCAATCAGTTTAATGAACTATAGGCAGTCTTCAAGTTACTAACAGCTAGGTTCTCTAGGTTTCTTCTTAGTTTTTATGTAAGTCTGAACAGGTACATTTTTTAGTGTACCTCCAGCCAAATATACATTTTTTTTAGTTTTGAATAACATAGTAAAGGGTTAACACACCTCTGGTATTTGTTTTGCTGCCTGTGTCTCTGTTAAGAAGATTTCACCTTACTTTCTGTCCCTGTGATAATTGAATTTTGAAAAATGTGGCTTGCTTGGGGAAACAAGGATTTGTGAGAAAGCTTCAGTTAAGATAGCTTTCTCCCATGATAACACTTCCAGGGGTGAATTTCCCTTTCTAGAGATAGATATCTCTCACTTCCTGTTGTTTCACCCCTGTTCTTATCTTTAAGTTGTTTCTAAGTTGGATGTTTGTAACTCAAGGACTGCCTGTATTTAGTAACTCATCGATGATAGTTACAATATTGAGAAACAAGAGGTGCATACAGCATAGGGCATATAATTTCATTATTATACAATATTTATCTAGGGTTTGGATAAAATAAACAAAATTGTCTGTTTTGAAGATTACCTTTCCATTGAATACTCCTTCCATGAGGAAAACATTACAGACTGGAAAACTCACAGCAGCCTATTTTATAATAATAATAATAATAATAATAATAATAATAATAATAATAATAATACAGGGTGAGGCAGCATAACTTCCTTCTTTCAAAACTTAATAAAACCCATTGTATAAATCAGATTTTTTTTAATAATGTAGGCGCATATCTAAAGTTTTGTTTTAAGTAGTTTTGAAGATCAAATTAGGTAGGTGATGTCCCCCATTCTCCATACACTGAGTAAACCGATTTCTGGCATTTGTCATGACTCTTGCCAGCATAGCAGGCGTTATGTTGGCAATTTCTTCCTGGATGTTGGTCTTCAAATCTTGTAGGGTCCTTGGATGGTTCACATAAATACAGGATTTCAAAAAACCCCATAGAAAAAAAATCACAAGGGGCCAAATCTGGAGAGCAGGCCGGCCACTCCAAATCCGCTCGAAAAGTAGGCCTCAATGGCAGAAGCACGCTCCTCACTGTTCCAATGCATGATGGCGACTGAACTGTGTTAGGACAAAACTTTATACTCCGCCTCTCGAACAAGACCACTAGCGCTCTGCTACGTCTTCAACCGACTGAATGGCGCTCATTTTAAAAAAGGAAGTTATGCTGCCTGTAATAATAATAACTTCATTTTTATACCCTGCCACCATCTCCCCAAGGGGACAGGTGCAATAAACCCTCATACTTTTTAAAATATAGCTAACCTAATAGAGGAGAAGTGAAATGAAAAGAATACAGTTGTTAACTATTTTTGGCACAGAGTAAGAATTCCTGCCAGTATTATACAATAATTCCATAACTTTTGCTCTCTTCTTGACATCATTTTTACAAGGATGTTCAAGTCACTCAATACTCAGAATATCAAAATAAACTGAATCAACATTTCAAAAATGATGGTGGTATTTCCACTCTTTTGTGCCAGATGTTTTTGAATAAATCTTGATTCTTGCTTAGGAATCCTTCTCCTTACAAAGTTCTCCAACAACCCATTTCTCACACTTCAAAGAGCATGCTTTCAAACAAATGACTGACATATTGATAATATAATACAGATCAATATCTGACCACATTAGTAACTGATTAATTGTTCTCCTGTGCCTCCAGATGGCAACAAGGCAAAAGATAAAAGGATCTTAATGCAGATTCCAGAATTCGTGTTCAGTTGCAGTTGATTTACACCAGGGGTAGGGAACCTTTGGCCCTCCAGCTGTGGTGGACTTCAACTCCCACAATTCCTTGAGGCTCGGCATTGGGCCAAGGTAAGCCTTTGGGGCGAATGCCGAGCCTCAAGGAATTGTGAGAGTTGAAGTCCACCACAGCTGGAGGGCCAAAGGTTCCCTACCCCTGATTTACACGCTCTCCTTGTACCCAGATTTTAACATCTGTAGTACTTCCTGACAGGCACATAAATGTACATACAACAGGATTAATTTGCAGTAGTTTCCAGTACCATATAATTGGAAAAACCAATGAAAAATGCTCTGTATGAATACTTTTCTCTGAAATATGATCCACAGGTGTATTACTAGACATTATTGCAAACAAGTTCTTTGATCATGCTTCCATAAATGGAGGCTGAATGCCATGAACGCATAGACTTTGACAAATAAAGAGCATGCATAAGTTCACTTGTTAAAGTAACACAAAACTATGTGTGGTGTAACTACCGAGTTCTTGTGCTTCTAAGTTTATCAGTTTTTTCTCTCACCCTAAGTTTATTCAGAAACCAGGGTTGTGTGATCAGGTTCAATAGCTCAAGACATTATTCTTTCAAATGCCCATTGATTTGATTGAGTGTAGAAGATTAGTTTCTACTCTTGGGATACTGGGATATTTCTTTTCTGTATCTGAACTTTCTGGGCAAAACAGAGAGTGAAATTCAGTTTGATTAGTTAAAGTTTTTTTTAAAATGAAGTATAGATTAAAAAACCCCAAATAACTAACTCATAATTTCTTTCTCCAACAGGAAACTATGCTGAATATTTAGAGGCATCTGTCCCGTCCTTATTACTGCATTATGTAGAATTTGAAGATTCAGGATTGCACTAATTGTTAATTTTATCTGCCAGAGTGTATTTTTCCCAATATTACATACAATGACTAGTTCCTCTGGTTTCTGTAGTTATTCCATACAATTGATTTTTTAAACAAGAAGATCCTGTTTCAAATCTGCCATCAAACATTTGTTTACAAATAGCTTCATTCAATTTCAATCATGTTTAGTGGATCAGGGTTACATTGTAGTTGCCTTGCCTGCTGGACCAGTTTCAAGAAGCAGAAGGTTCCAGGTCTGCAAAGCGGTTATAGCTCACTTTGTCCTAAACGCTGTTCTCATTGTTGTTACTGTCACCATTGCCATGTGAAATGGAAAATCCTCTTGATTCTCAAAGAGGAGCTTGCCAGGTTATTAAACAAAAATGTTGAACGCATCTCACACTGTTCATTTTCTCTATTTATACACCTTACAAAAACAATCAAGATCTCATCCTAGTTGGTACCTCTACCAAACATAGATACAAGATCTATCTGCTTTAGCTGTGTATGTGGAAGATTGTGTCTTTCATACCTTCACACAATCATTTAAACTTAAAAGTCTGATTCTGAGATTTCATTGAGCTGATACAGCAGGACTGAAAAAGGTGGCCTGTCTTCTTGCTTCTATAAAGAAAAGGAGAGAGGAATAAATATTCAGGATTTGTAAACTAGTTAGGAAGTGATATAACAATATGACATCCACATTTCATAAATGTTTCATGATGCAAAAAGCAATAGACTGGAGGTTTTAAGTAACTACAGTCAGCTCAGTCTCCGGTAGCCAATAATTCCTTTTGGCGGGAATAAAAAAACTTTCTCTCATTTTGTGGACTGCAAGTAAAGACACAAATACTTTAAATAAAAATATAAAAATGCCTAGTAGATGAGTGAAATTATTGTGATAGAAGTTGGCCATTTTGACTTAGGAAATCTATGAGAAACTTTCCTTTGCGTTTTCTCCATGTTACAAATGGAAATTTTTAATCCTGCCAAGGAACATGATAATGTTTTTTCCTTAAAGAAGGTTAAGTTAACTTTAAACATAAGGTGGTGTGTAAACTGAAGAATAATGTTTATTTATTAAGAAATTATGGGTTGCATAGCATTCAAAACTAGAGGTGAAAAGTTATTCTCACTGAGCCTTCTCCATTGATAGGGAAGAAATTGACAACAAAGACAAACTTTGTGGAGGAAGGCAGAGTCAGACTTATTCTAGAGAGATTTTTTTCTATTTACTGCAATTAAAACTGCATAATTAGAATAATCATATGGTCTTCTCCTGCTTGCCCTATCCCTTCATTTTCTTCTTTTCTTTGATATTTCCCTATATCTACTTGGGGATTGGGACTAACTTCCTTATAAACAATTATGCAGAATATTAAAAACTGACTTTTTGGACTACATGGTTGTAGTCTATGCTAGCTGACTGATACAGTAAGTGTTAGAAATATTATTTCCCTCAAAGGTTGATGCCAGTATGATCTGCAGCCAATCTGGTGTCAATTTTACAGAAGAATTCAAAAATGTGTCTAAATGCAGGAAGGGCTAAAAGTGTAATGGGAATGGGCCACGCTCTGAAGCCCCCACAGGCTTTTGTTCACATGTTGGACCAAACACTGAAACAAAACCCTTTGCAGGATTTCATGCTCATCTCTTAATCTGTTCTATATTTAAATAATGTTCTGTGTTTAAATTGAAGTACGTACAAACACATCTGCCTTACAAGGACATGATAGTACTCCATGTACAGTTATGAGAATGGTTGTTGGCTCAAGAAAATCTGTCATTTTGCAGGACCACCACATATGAAAATATGATCACATTGTTAGTTTACATTTTCAACAGGTATTTTTCCATTGTGGCTGGATTTTGGGCATTTTTACAGTGTCATCATATTTTGAAAAAAGTTTTCCAACAGTAAGTAACCTCCAAATATTTTTATTTTTACTTTCCAGTGAAATTTCTACTTGCAATATGTTGATTTTATGTTTAAATTGTTATTCTATTACATTTTATTATATACAAAAAATAATAAAATAAAAAGAAATATGTAAACTTAAAAGGGTACTGTTCTATTATCCGGGAGTAGGCCACTAGAGGGTACTAGAGTGAGAAGGATAGTCCAGGGTGGGTTGAAGGAGGAAACCCATTTCCCCCCTGTTTTTCTGTTATATCCCTCACCCATGTCCCTATCATGGAAACAACCCTTGTTTATGATAAGGGAAAGAGGGAGGAGAAATAACCAGTGAACAAGGAAGAAATGGGTTTTCTTCTTCAACTCCCCCTCCCCCAAATAAAATGAACTCCATCCAGATAATGGAACAGTACCCTTAAAAGTTTATCTAGAGTTGTGCCAAGGATTAGCCATGCTTCAAGATCACCCTTTGAAATCAGTGTTATTTATGTGAGATATATATCCAGGTTTCGTGAGGACTGCAGTGTCATCAGCCCCAGACAAAATGGTGAGGAATGCTGGGACCTGTAGTATAACAGCATTTGGATGTTTGCATGAATCCCACCATTTGTCTATATCTGATTCCTGACCCACCAAATCAACGACTCTGAGATCTTCAGGAGAGACTCTACTCTCGGTTCCACCTCCATCATAACCTCGGTTGGTGGGAATGAGAGAATGGGCCTTCCTTTTCGATGGCTGCCCTTCAACTCTGGAGCTCCCTGCCCAGGAAAGCCAGAATGGCCTCCTCCCTGTTGTCCTTCTAGCAGCAGGCAAAACCCTTTTTATTCAGGAAGGCTTTTAAAGATGAAGATCAAGTCAGAGGGTGTTGTGGTTGTAAACTTTGAATACATTTTAATGGTTTTTAATTGGGAATTTTTTTAATACTGTTTATATTTAATTCTGTTTTAATGTTTTCATCCTTGCTAATGCTTTTATGTTAAGCCACATGAGTCATCTTGGAAAGAGATAAAGTGGATAATAATAATAATAATAATAATAATAATAATAATAATAGGGATTAATCTAAACAGTGCTTTTGTGTTCAACTAATCATTAAACATTCATACTTTAAAAGTTTTAAGAGTTTGTTCTAATTGGTGGGTTTAAAAATATACTAAAATGAAAAAAGATTGTAATGAATCATTATTCCCTTAATAACCAAAAATAAAAATACATACGATTTTTAAAAATTATATTAAATTTTGTTATTTACCAGCATTTGGATGATGCTGAGATTAATTCATTTTACACATTAAAAAAAGAAAGTGTGCTATCAGTTTTGGCTCACGTATTTCCTACTGCTTCTCCTGTGTTGCTCATTTAAGTAGCCTGGAACAGTCAAGAATTTTATGGCACAGGAACAGAAACATAGGATAATGTGTTAATGCTGAGGTGGAAACATCTTGAGACCTATTGGTCCTGATTCCCAAGGAGATTTTATATTGGAATACTGATATTTTTCCCACACTTCTGAATGAGCTAACAGCATATAGATGCTGTTCAATTTCAAAACAAGCTGTGGCTGGAGAGTTATAACTTACAAACTACTAGGGACATACAGGAGATACTCAAAGCTGAGGTTTTTCAGACAGGTCACCGAGTTTACACATGACTTGAAAAAGCTCCCAGGGAGATTTTGGCTATTGTTCCAACTTGAACCTTAAATAATAAATCAGATGACCTGCTGACTGCACCAGATCTCTGCTGTGAGCTGGCAGTAATTTTGATGGGAAAAGGAACTTGGCAAGTACTGAACTCAGCTGTCACTGGACATCCTCGGCATTTTCAAAGTTAAGGGGAACTGAGGACCCTAGGGAAATTGCTGGATGGGCAAAAGAGAAAGGATTAGACTTTTCTCCTAATAGGTTTAAGCATCTGGTCTTAGATGCTAACCAGAACTCTTTTTTTTCCTTGGCTGAGCATGGATTTCTCCTCTGTAAATTGGGTCCTAGACAGATTTAGAAAAAAAAGTAAACCGTGATCAGCTTCTCCTGAGCAATCTTTGCATAAGCCCTTTTCCTGTGCTTTTAGGATACCTATGCAAAGTGTTCAAAGACTGGGTCACAACAATATATTTATTATTCCATCCAACTAATCAGACATCCTTTGAAATGCAGCTTCTGTGAAAATCCTGTCTTGCAAACTATTGTTGATGTAGTGTGGTGTTTTTTTTTTTAAATCTTCACACTCTCTCCAAGGGAATAGCTGCTGGTGTTCCTGTGTTAGTGAGACAGTTAATTCACTCCAGACTTTAGCCTAAATTTTAATAATCTATTCAAGGTGGCGATCACATTTCCTAAAACAGATAGCTTCTCTTATGCTCACACTATAACCTGAAGTAGACTTACAACTTCACTCTCCTAGAAGCCACTAATGACCTAAGATTAAGTAGATTACTGCTCGTGTGAATTCGCTTTTAGAAAATTCAGGGTTCATTTCCTTTTTGGCATGAAATATGTTGTACTGACCTCACTCCAGCAACTTCTCATGAGCTTGTAAATAGTGTTGGAAGACAGCCTGGGCTTGTACAAACGGCCACCAGCCCTGAGGTCTTCTACCACTTCACCATTGGTCTTGTTTTCATAAGGTATTTTACCTTCACTGAATATCTCCCACATCAATACCCCTGAAACAAAATAAGGAATAGGACATGAAAGACCTTGGACAAGTTACACACTCTCAGTTGAGAGCAATCTTTCTAAGTAAAGTTGAGAATAGGATCATCTTAAGTCGGAATCGACCTAAAGACACATAAGAACAATTATGAAGTATGGTCATGTTCATGTTTTATTCCATCTTTTCGGATAATGTCCTTATGTCTCATTTTCTAATCTGTCACCTAATACTACAGAGGCATTTTCCTCCCAAAGAAATAAACCCATTTCCCATAGAAATACCCCCCCCCCCACAGTTCTTTTGAGCGAGGAGACACTATATGTTCATCATCATTAGACAATCACTGCCTATACAGTACATTCTTGGTTTCTTGCTTGTTTTGGATTCCACTTTACTCCCAAACACAGGACTCAAGGTGGCTTCAAGCCATTCCTCTTACTGTTGTTGCCATTACTTCCATAGTTGCTACTACAATTACTTCTATTGTTACATTAGAGTCAAAAATGTTATCTGATACTTCATGATTGATTCACCATTGATAGTCCTAAATGAATTACACAAACTTTCTTGTGTTACACTGTCTCCAGCTTCACAAAAATCAAGAAGCTAAATGATTGTTTTTAAAATATCTGGGTACAACTACTTAGATAAAACAAAAAAGCACACACATTCAGATGGAATAAAATAAAGTGTTGAGCAGTTGTTGCTCTATAATACAAATGGCAACAATTTCCCAAACCAACAGGGATCACCTCAAAACCAATAACAAGAATTCTAATATTTCATTTTGATTCCGTAAAGTAATTTTCCCCTATTAAATTAATCTTAATTATTGTCAGAAATTATAGAAAGAACATTCTTGCCTCTGGGGCCCCATCTGCACTGCCATTAACTGCATTGAACTGGATTATATGGCAGTGTAGATGGGCTCTAGGACAAATCTATATCATTATGTCACAAAATGCGAAAAAAATCATGTTCCTGGTTTGAAAGTGTTATTTCTTGTTTAATTGTGTGGTACTTACTCTGAAAGTAGTTGTTATACTCCAGAAACTTGGTAGCTACTAACTATGTTGAATTGGTTGAGAATCTATGAGATATTCATTGAAAACTGTAACAAAATGTGCTACAGGATCTTTTTATATTATATGTTGGGCAACTTTGGAATTTCCCTTTGCCTCTTGAACAAATTAAAAAATGGAAATCCTTTTGGCTTGATTCCATTTGCATCATTAGCTACAATGTTATTTGTAATTATTCTTTGCTGCTCCCCTGTAGTTCACTGAGTGCCTTCCTACTTGGGAGTCTCATCTTCTAGCACTATGTCTTGTTTCATATTTGACTGTCTCATCATAGTGTTTTTATGATAATAGACATTCAAATGGGATTTACTAGGCCTCCTTCTATGCAGTACTAACAAGCATTAGATGTGGTGTCAGTGCCGTTGTCTCTGGGAGATCTTCTGCTAGTGTCTCCCTCCACTATTGCTGCTGCCAGTTGCTGTTTGGCACCTCAGTCTGGCTCATCAGCAAAAAGCTCTCTGTCATGCTCCCTACCACAGGAGATCCTACTGTCAGCATAAGAGGAATTGCATGTTCCTCTTGACCCACAGAAACATGCAATTCCAACACTATTTAAGGCATTCTGATGATAAGCGGATTCTGTTTATAGAAAAAAACCCTAAGTATTGGTTATTGTTATATGAAATACCTTGTTAAAAATACCCCTCACACACACAAAAGAAGACACGAAAATGCCTTCTATCAATAGGACTAGCAGTGTGTTTCAGTGATAAGGTGTCAAATAAATGTGCGAATAATAATTTTCTGATTAAAGGATCTTACCAAATGACCAGACATCAGATTTGGTGCTATATCGGTTATAAGAAAACACCTCTGGTGCTGACCACCTAACAGGGAATTTGGTACCCATAGAGCTGGTATATTGGTCATCAAGAACATACCTAGAAACAGAAAAACATGATGCATCAGTGTTTATAGTATCACGACATTACAGAAACACAACTGTGCTTGAAGAAAGACTACAGCTTCATAACAAAGTCTATTTTTGTAAGCATAAGATTAAGTTCTCTAATATTCACAGAACCATTCTTTTCATATTGTGTATTGTGTTGACATTACAGCATTTCTTTACATACAAAGTGCATTCAGATATATGGAATTGCAATCTGCATCCAGAAGGCTAATTAAATAGACTGCTACCTCTGGTTCCCTGATATCAATTAATGCAACTGTTCAAACAGCGCCATTAGCATTTTTTTTGTACTACAGTTCCCAGAATCTCACAACCAGGATGGGCAAAGCTATGCTCGCTGGAAGACTGCCATTCCAGAAAATGCCTTTCCCATGCTGTGCTATTTACCTGGCTTAGTACAGTGACCAGCACTGTAATGCTACTTGTAACATAATATCATGCATGCAATTACGTTACAGCCAAACCATCCATAGGCATCTACCTCCTATTCTTAACATTCTTTGCAAAAGGGAAAGATGTGTACTGATCTAGAGCCTTCCTGCTCAAAACAGCAAACCATGGACCAGTCTTGGTCACTAGCTATCCACTGCCAGTCACTGGAGAGTTTCAAAGAAATGAAGAAAGAGTTGGAGCCAATGGGCACAGATATAGAATTTGTTCTTGGCACAATGAGGAAAACCCGGTTTGCTACATCAGACTTTAAGAAACAGTGAGCTACAGAATATAAGTGGAATGTATCTAACTTGTCATTTGCAAAATCAATTTTTGAAAATAGCCGAAGACGCTAGGAAAAGGAAGTGGTTTACAGACAACATGGTGGATTTTTTTGTTGTTGTGGTAGAAGGTTAAATGTGACAGAGTTTTCATTTCCTGTAGACTCATGTGCATGAATGTGGTCTCTGCACACCATATTTATTGGGTTTTGTTGTGCTTGAAACGCTAACAAAATATTTTAATCTGAAGGCGGTGGGGAGCGGGGGTGGGTAAAAGATACCCGTTGGTAAGCCATCAAAAATGATGCATCCAGCAACTTTAGTTCCCTTTTAAATAAGTGTAGCAGAAGGTAGGGATTACAGGAACTTGCATTAAGAATGGAAGAGACATGTGTTCCAGATCAAATGTAGGTTTTGCTGCTGCTGTGAGCTTGATATTTAGCACACTTCAAAAGAAGGAAACAACGTCAGTGAATAAATAGTTGTGCATGTGACTTCAAATTACCGTGACATTCCAAAATCTGAAACTTTGACCACTTGGAATTCTCCTACCAAACAATTCCGAGCAGCCTGCGAAGAAGGAAGAAACAAGATATTAGTAAAAAGAGACAGGGCCTTTTCAGTGGTGGCCCCTCAACTGTGGATCACCCTGCCTAGGGATATAAGATTGCCCCCCTCCCTTCTGACTTTTCAAAGAAAGGTGAAATCCTTGCTTTTTGAGCTGGCCTTCCCAAATACGGCATAGTTATACGAAATCATGGAACCGCTTGACGACGCAATTGAATAATGACTTGACATGGAGACGCTCATGATAATGTTTTTAAGGCTTTGTACAGTTTTTTATATTCTTATATTGTATGCTAATGTTTTCAACAGTATTTTATGACTGTTTTATTTGTTATAATTGTTAAGGCATCAAATTGTTGCCAATTGTGAACTGCTCCAAGTTGCCTCTGGGCTGAGAGGGGTGGTATATAAATGTGGTAAATAAATAAATAAATAAATAGGAATTACATATTGCTTTTGAGGGCATTTTTGGGCATATGGCTGTAATAATCACTATCAGTTTGCAATTTCCAGTCTTGCTCTCTCTTGCTTTCCTTACGGGCCTTGCATGCTTTGAGACATTATCACACAGTGCAATTTAACTGGCTAGATAATGTTAGTTATGTTACACTGTTCATCATATGGTCTCTGACTTTCTAGGCTATGGATGGAATTCACCAACAAAAGTTTGCTCTCATTGTCAAGCAGGAGTGGGAATCATACAAATCTGTCATACAGCCTTATTGAATGATAGTTCCCAGAAGCTATTGCCATCTTAGCAAACAGTGAGGAAGGTTGAGAACTACAGTCCAACAACATTTGGAAGGCTGCCTAATTCCTACCCTATGACAATGTTGTTTTCCATCACTAATATTATACAGGTATTTCCCCAACTATACAGTTATATCACTTTAACAATAACAACAATGACTGTATCCTAGGGAATCCTGAAATTTGTAGTCCACTGAGCTTTTGGCAGAGAATTCTACATGCCTTCACAAAACAACCAGTCCCAGGACTCCACAGATAGAGCCAGTGTATGTAGTGCAAAAGAGTCTACAGTGTCATCTGATTTAGTGTTACTGTATTCCATTTGCTTTATGAGGTTCAAATGCCTAGGATGCGCCCTTTGTGTGAGTAATTGAGACATTAAAACAAGGTGGCATCCCAAAAGGGAAAATAACTGATACTAAAGCTTTAGCAGGGTAGCAAACATCGATACAAGAAAAAAAGACTACAAAGATAAATTTTTACAAGACTGGAGACTTTTTCAAGAAACATCTCTGCTTTGAAGCAAAATCAGTACTTTCAGTTTTAATATAGAGATAGAAGAATATATGGGGCATCCCAAATTATTCAAAATTTAAGGATTAGGAAATGTTAATAATTTGGATTCATTCCTTTTTTGAAAAAGTGCTACTGATTTATGACAAGAGTCATAGACATGAGCCAGACATACCAGGTCCCTGTGGATGACAGATGCTTGTTCCAGATAAGCCATCCCTTCACACACATCTTGGCACATTCCCAGAAGGTCTTCCTTTGAGAAGCTCCCCCGCTGCCTCTTGAGGTAATCAGACAGGCATCCATTCTCCATGAACTCAAATACAAGGCACATGGGAGCTGGCTGCACGCAGACCCCATGCAGCTGGACTAATTTGGGATGAGACAGCTTCCTGTTAATAGAGAAGGAGGGATTGGCATTATCATGTCTAGTGCTTTGCAGAAACAGATAGAGGGGCATCTATAGGATGCCTAACAAAGAGGATGAATCTGAAAGATGCAAAACAAACCCAGAAATGCACATATAAAGAAACAGAGAAAAGGAAGTGAAGCTCCTTGAAAATTTCATACTACGCTTCTCTCATCACTCCTGAAAACTGAAATCAAATTTCCCACTGCTGGGATATATAAACGAAACTGTATTGATATTCACCCTGTTTTCCACTAAAATAAAGGCTTTAGCAAATGCACATAGATTAAGTACTGAAAAAATAGTTTAAAGTGTTCATGCTATTTCCACAACATTTCATGTTCCAGAAAATATTTCTTCTTATGACTCTCTGAAAATAAGCATCAGACACATATGGTACAGATCTCACTTATATAGTGTCTGATACATCAACATAAATCATGTAGACAAAATTTCCAGGTAGTCTATGTCCACTCAGGCTGGCAACAGTAAAGCAGTAAAATGACTTTTCCCAACCATGTTCGCAAGCAGTTTGTGAAATGTGTTTGTTGATTGAATTGGATTTTTATCATCGGACTCAAACCAGATTACAAAATAGTTATGCTTGTCAGTAAAAGTTTTCAGAATTTTAAAGGGTCTTTGAGCCAAGAACCTTAAGAACTGGAACATTAAGCTTGAAGGTCCACTTAGTTCCATGGTAGAGCATATGGTTTGGATACACATAGTCTCAAATTTAGTTCCTAGAGCAATGGTTTTCAATCTATGAGTCCCCAGATGTTTTGGCCTTCAACTCCCAGAAATCCTAACAGCTGGCAAACTGTTAGGAGTGTTGTAGGCCACCTGGGGACCCACAGGTTGAGAACCACTGCACTAGAGCCTTACATCATGACTTGGGCCTCCTCAAGGAAGTCTTCTTCTGACATTGCTCCCGTACGAATGGTCTTGATGGCAACTTTCATCTGATCAAGCCAATAGCCACTATGTACCACTCCGAATTGGCCCACGCCAATCTCCTGCCCAAAGGATAGTTCTTGAGAGTTAATCATCCATTTTCCTAATAAGTGGAAGCAGAAATATAGTTTTAAAAATAAAAAAGCAGAAATATACTTTTCAGTTCCTATGGGTATTGAAAAATGCAGCAGGTATCCTATTGCAATATTTTGCAACTATGAAAATATTACATTCTTTTTGTTATATTTATTTATGAAAAGGAGATGGAGAAATGAAAGATTTTTGCAGCATGTTTAAGACTAATTTTTTCTGCACAAGTGTTCTTGACTTTGTGTATTTCTTCACGTCTACTGATGTTAATGTATTGAACAAAGTGGATTAAAATCATAAAAGCTCGTTCTGTAATAAATTAGTCTTACTTTCCCACTTCCTTTTCTTGCTAGAATAAACGAACACATCTGTTTCTGTGAAAGCTTATCAAGTAGTTCTAATACTAAGAATTGGTTTGCACACACATAGACAGAATAATTTGACATTCTCCAATTTGAGCCCCTAGTATAACATCTATTTTACTCTGAGACTATACATTTCCTGCTTCTAGTGCTGCTATATCATACTAGAAATGGCTGCATATCATGACACTGCTGGATTTTAAGTGAGTTTACTGATGATGATTCCAGCTACTTATATGTGCCACAGTCAAACCGGTTCTCTTTTTAGAGCAAAAGAGGCATACAGATGGGTGTTAAATCTGTCATTTAACTATGGTTTCCTTTTAGCTGCTCTCCAAAACCACAAAATAGAACTAGAACTAGAAAATACGTGGTAGGAACGAGTTAGGATATAGCATTAATGCAGTATAACCCCACTTTATCTGTCATGGCTCGATGCTATGGAATCCTGGGATTTCTCGTTTGGTGAAAGAAGGTTTTGGTGGAGAAGGCTAAAGACTTTGTAAAACTACAACTCCCATGATTCCATAGAATTTGACTGATTACACCAAGTAAAATCAATGCACTGTAATATGGAGAAACAAGATCAAATCTATATAGTCAAATTTAGAAAATATTTGAAAATATTAAAAATGGTTGAAAAATGTGTTTCTCAAATGTCATCAAATGCTGACAAGGAAAATGCTACATCAATGTGAATCTGGTTAGGAGGTTTATTCTACAATAATTTTGCATGCATTTTTGTGCACAATTAGCCTTAATCTGGAAATGGCCTTCAAAAGGCTTTTGTTTTTGTTTTTTTTGCAGTGGGAGGAAAATTACAAAAATGCTTCTTTAAAAAATGAAATTAACAAAGATTTAGCATCTCTAAATCAGGTCTGTTTACCATAGCTTAGCCCAGCAGTAACAGGAGCCTTTTCTCTCCAGCAGGAAACAGCATACCGCAAACGCGTAACAAGACCTACATGAGGAAGAAAAACATAAAAGGCTGAAGGAAAGAGGAAAAGGAGTAGGAAGTACAGGAAGGCTGGAGGAAAAGTTGAGTCATGGAGCCAAAACCAGATGAGGACCAAGAAGGTTGATAATGGCCAGTTCACATATTGATAAGATTCCCCAACATACTTATGATAAACAAGAAGCCAAGTCTAGGCTAGCTGGAAGCTACTATTCCAAAGCCTGAGTACCACTACAGCGAAACCTTCATCCTGATGGTTGTCAGATGAGCATCTGAAGGTTGTGATGTAATTAAGAGGATCTCTGGGAGTACCACAGTGTTACATTTACATTTACAATGTAATTGTAATTATAAGAGCAATTGCAAGTTTATGTTTGATGTAACATTAGATCCCAACAAATATTTTTCTTACTTTTCTTTCTTTTTCATCATTGGATGTATTCAGCGGTATTATTTCAAGAATATTATTTCTGAATTAGCTCAAAACAATCTCCCTTTTGTTCTTGTCTTCTTCAGCCTGGACTTACCTCCTGCATTGTGCTGGTGATAATTGATCATTTCTGGGATACCATTAAAAATATGCTTCTCTGCCAGGTAGTACTTTTTGGGATTGTCACTTGTTTCCTTGATGTGATAATGCTTTATGACTGGGTTATTGTCATTACTAAAAAAAGAGAAATAAAATGGGATAATAATGGGAAAAGTGAGTATGTCTCTGTTGTATGATCTGCCTTCAAAGTTCCAAGCACCTTGAGCTAGACCAGGGGTCCTCAAACCTTTTACACAGAGGGCCAGGTCACAGTCCCTCAAACTGATGGAGGGCCGGATTATAATTTGAAAAAAAATAAATGAATGAATTCCTATTCACACTGCAATAAATTATTTGTAGTACAAAAAACACCTAAAAACAATACAATAATTAAAATGAAAAACAATTTTAACAAACATAAACTTATTAGTGTGGGCCTGCTTTTGGCTGATGAGATAGGATTGTTGTTGTTGTTGTTGTTGTTGTGTGCTTTCAAGTCGTTTCAGATTTAAGTTGACCCTGAGCGACAGCCGGGTAAATTACCTTGGAGGGCCATATCCGGCCCCCGGGCCTTAGTTTGAGGACCCCTGAGCTAGACAAATATTCGTCTCCCACGTTTCTCTCAGCCTGCACTTCTGGCAGATTCTCTTGAGAACTGATATCACTTTCTCCAGTCTCATGAAAACTACTAAGTGATTTCAAAACAACCCTCTCCAGACTGATTTTATCCTTCTCTGGGACCTCCAAATCTATCCCAGCATACCCTTCTTCATCTTCTGGGCACTCAGAATCTGACCAGGCGATAATACTATAATTCTAAACAAGTTTATCTGAATAGATGTTTTTCTGAAGAAATTTACATTGCAATCCATTCCAAAGAAAATGATTAGCTGAACTAACAATATGATTATATTTGCCCTATGTACCACAATAAATACCAAAATCAGAATCACATATGCCACAGTATTTCTTATTCCTATGTATACTTTTGAAAGCCAGACAAGAAAATTGACTCATTTTATATGAATGGTAGAGGCCAGCTCTACAGACACAATGAACCACCAAGGAGACAAATAAATGGGTCCAAGGAGAAATCAGGCCTAAATTTTCACTAGAAACCAAGATGAGGCTATCATATCTTGGACTTGTTGCAAAACTGATAATGCCGGGTAAAGTGGAAGCTCATAGCAAAATAAGATTGTTTTACAGGTAAATGGATTTGATTAAGGAACCTGTGGCCCTGAGTTTGCAATATCTGAGCAGAGCAGCTAATGGCATTGGTTCTTGATCTCCCACTCTTAGGGCTACTATAAATTGAAGTCAAACTGGCAAATAACAAACCAAATTAACAAATTAAGCAATTATGCAACTAAAACTGTAGGTGTCATCAGCATGTTAAAATGTTACATTGCACAAATAAAACAGCTTGAAGTACTACTAAGGTCTGACTTACCTCAAAGCTTTGGTGAAAACAGAGACCGTATAAGTGCCAGGCTGCCGCGAGTCTCTAACCATGAAGGCTCCTTCTTTATCCTGCAAACAGACGGAAGAAAATAGAATTGAACAAAATAGTGAGTATTCATTATTAGGAAATAGGTTCATAGGCTAAGTTTCTACAAGTACTTTTCAGGTCCCTAAATCTTGATGAGGATAGAGGTGTCCTGGAAAGCCTCTACTTTTGTGTCCCTCTAGTAAGAGCAACACAATATGTGAGGCTATGGGACAAGTACTTCTCTGATGTAGCCATCTAGACTTGCTTGGTGTTAATCTTGGTTTCTTTATGATGTAAATATAAAATTAGGCTTATTGTTCACCCACTTTGTGCCAAGTACAAATATGGCTGGAAAATGGTTTTCAGGGAGGGGGATTGGACTATAATTCCATGCTTTCTAGAGATTCTGAGAGTTTTGGTCCAAAACCTTTTCTATGTTCTCACTGAGAACAAAGTATTTAATTCTATTTGCATTGTGCTACATCTGTGGTTCTTAACCTGTGGGTTCCCAGATGTTTTGGCCTTCAGCTCCCAGAAATCCTAACACCTGGTAAACTGGCTGGGATTTCTTGGAGATGTAGGCCAAAACACCTTAGGGACCCACAGGTTGAGAACCACTGCACCAGATTAATCTCTCTCATGTGTGCACCCTATTCTTTCTCTGGCAATAGGATTTTACTCACATCATATTTGTTCAACAATCATGTTAAGTAAGTCAGGCTGTTACACTGTGATTGGCACTAGGTTAGCTGCAGCAATTTGGCTCCATGGTTGAAATGGGCATGCCACAAAGAAGTGCTATATTTGCATACTGGAGGCTTTTAAAAGGATCCATTATGTCATAATTTCCCCAACATTTAATAATTCTCCAATACCTTGAAAATAACCAAAGCAGAAAAAAATAAAGGAGCATAAAAGATAACCATCTTCTTACCTCTTCTTTGAGCAGTGTCTCTGCTTTGCTTCGACTGATACTCTTATTGTACCACCTGCAATTATCAAGGATTTGATGTTAGGCTCTCCAACTTAAGTTTTAAAACCCTGGACGTTAGGGCTATTATGCAAGCATCTCCTAATTTTCAATAGTAAAGGATGTTATGCCTAAAATGAAAGTGACCCCATGAATGTTAATTTGTAAATAATATTGGGATTCTTAAAATACTCCGACATGCAGACTAAATATTGCTTGAAAATATAAGCTAGTAACATTTCCCCCTTTAACTTTGTAATCTCTTACTAATTTATTTCTCCATACAGAACCTGAAATGATTTGCACCCATTCAAGGTATTAACATGAAGCCTTTTCTTTGCAGTGATAATATTATATCTGAAGAAATAAAACAAACTGTCTTACACATATGTGTGCAGATTTTCTGGTGATTTCTCTACCACATAGCTGCTTGGCACATATCCTTCATGACTGTTAAAAATAAGAAATGAATGAATTTTCCAGGAAAATATGACTTCATTACTTTAAAATAATCTAGTATAGTAGATAATTTGAAGACATTTTTTAAAAATAATTGATAGGTTGATGGCAGTTGCGGGACAAAGAGGTCAAACCTGCAAAGCATGGTAATAATTCACAAATACAGTTGATTATCCATATTTGTGGTTTAACTTTTGTGGATTTGATTATTTTCAGATTTGATCAATATGGCCTCTTGAGGAATCTCTTGTTCCTCCAGTGCTACTCTATGAAGAATATCCAGCAGAAGCTGGCCACAGAGCCTCACTGGAGGATCTAGAAATTCCTACATAAGTATTCTCTCAGGCTAAAAAAAAGTGTTTTAAATATTTTCCCCACTTTTGTGGGTTGTGCACCCCTAACCTTTGTCAAAGTGGAAAACCTACTGTATAAAACACAAGCTGAATTTTGACTTCAATCATATATGTTAGTGCTTAAACCTTTGTTGGGGTATGGATCATATTTGATACATGGAGTTCAAGAATAGCTGTAGAACAGATAGCAAACTAAAATAAGTAAGTAAGAAACTGTTCACTCCAAGGACCTTGTTAATAACCTGTTTGGTAGCTGTGGAGTGGCATGGCAAACAAGAAGCTACAATATTCTTCCTTATTATGCTAGCCCTCTTCCTCAGGAGGGAAGGCAAGTAGACAGGCCTCACTCTGGTCCACCTGAGATGAATACGGGCACATCGATTATGACTACATAAGTTGGTGTAAAAATGGAAGAGAAGGAAGCAATTTCAGTTTGTGGATGATTGCATGTGAAGTCCTGGAACTGGTTGAAGGCCTGGATAGTGTTAATATGCACCATAGAGACTGCCTTGAACAGGTTTCTTCAGCTTAATGATCATGGAGGAATTGGGTGCCCCCCCCCCCATTCTCAATGTGTGTTTGGATCACTAGAACATTTATCACTAATAACAAGCTCCATCAAACTGAATGAAGTGGTGATTGTAGATGTGCCCTATGTCAAGCTCCACCAGCACGCCTCTGGCTTTTGGTCTTAGACAGCCTTCCCACTCCCATATCTTGCAATACTGATTTGTGTTAGTTCATGTATGTGATTATAATTTTACTTGTTAACACTTGGATTGGATTGGTTGGATCCAGTTTGGGAGGAAATAGAGCCTACACACACACACACACACACCTTTTTGGGATGGGGGGGGGGAGATACCATAAAGGGTCTTTGGGGGTAAGCAACATTCCCAAGTGACAGGGTACCACATCATGGTGCATGCCCAGGTAGATTATATTCTGGTGTAGCTTCTTCCTTGGAAGGTCAGGAGGTTGTTTGTTTATCAGGTGAGAAGTTGATTATTCAATCTCTGTATTTGTGCCCCATGTCAAGTCAACACAATGCAGCAGTATGAAATAAAGTTGTAGCCTTTGTTGCAGTCAAAATTGTGTATGTATTTGTGTATGTGTATTGGTTCTCTTTGTTCACATTAACACATTTCTGGTGGACCCACATATCATGTTGCTATTTTATGAAGGCAGTCATTAAAAACAGAATAGCTATACAAAAACACTGGGCTCACCTTTCTAAGATATACCTACCCATTCTTATCCTGAACCAACCACCAGTGGACCTCTGAATTATCTATAACATAATATTCTTCATTGCACTGTAAGGTCAGCTCCTGTGGATTCTGGGCAGTATAGTCATAAATGGCAATCACTGGGGAATCTTTGGAGTCCAGAAATAATTTCTGTACAAACGAACAATTTTGGAAGAAAAAAAAGAGTAAGAACTGGAGGATAAGGTCACCACCAACAATCTCTATGCACCCCTGCAGACACTGAGATGTCCATGTTTATTGGTCAGTGAATCCAGTCTGGGTTTTAACTTGAACTTTAAAAGGAGTTCTCCATAATGTTTTGCCCTATCCCAAAAAACAGATTCAACAGCTTTGGTAGAATAAATCTCAGAGTGGGTTCACTGTTCCACAGATGCAGAAGGCACCGGCTCCTAAAGGTGTAGGAACATGGGTATGTCAGTGCAACAGTATTTGTTGGCTTCTCACAAGCATATGTTGGGATACTGTAGGAACACAATGTGGGATTAAATAAGCCTTAGGTTTGATCATGCATAAAGCATTTCATGTGCATGTGCATTCACACACTGTATATTTATTAATCTGTATATATATAGCGGACTCTTAGTTTCGGCTGAGGTTTGATTCTCCCCCTGATTCTGAGGATGTTAAAATTGCTTAATAATAATAATAATAATAATAATAATAATAATTTTTGTAGCCTGCCCTGTCTCCTCGAGGAAGCTCAGGATGGCTTCCAACATAATAAAAGTAAACATTCAATGCCTGTATAAAACAGAAGTAAAAATATAAACAACAAATAGTAAAATATATTATATAATGCAATGGCGTAGAAAAACGGTGTCCCTTATATAAAATGGCAAAATCAAACTTTACTTTTTGGAATTACAATATAAATGTACATATGTACAGAATACATATATATTTATATCTTCAACTTGAGATATATGGGATTATTATTGGTGGCCCAATAATTTGTTATTGTATTTGTATATGTTTTTTAAACTGAGATTGTTTTTAAAATGCTGTAAACCGCAATTGAGTCGCCGTTCTAGGCTGAGAAATTAGCGGTATACAAGTGTACCAAACAAATAAATAAATAAATAAATCCTTAGATCATGACATTTGTGAATGTGGAATCCACAGATACAAAGAGCTACCTGTCCATGCAAACTCCTCTATCATATATTACATCCTATGTTCAATAAAGACATAGATAAACTCATTGACCATGTATAGATAGTGTTGGAGCATATAAGGAATCAGTGAGTGTGTGTGTCAATTGTAAAATAAGATGCATAAAGCTGAGTGGTCGCGCTATGCTTGGGGAACAGGCTGAGCCTGGGCTTTTGGATACTGTTACATTTTTATCCAGGCTTGAGCTATGCAGGTGCTTGAAGAGAGAAGCAGAGAGAGACAGAGTTTGGAGTATGGTCTTGCTTCATGAGCTTCTGAAGGAGTTTATCCACATGGACAAAGAAAGACCATTTTAAATCATAAAAGGACATTATGTAAATTGATGCAACTGAGCATGTTGTACATACGTTGTTCTGAATTATGAACACTAAACTACTTGTTCTTTATTGTTCATCTGTGTGACATATTTTCTTTCTCTGGCAAGGCAGTGTGTGGGATAATCAAATGTGAACTACACGTGGCTGATTTTTACATGGCGCCACAGATAGTATTTGTAGATATTAGTGAGCGTTTTGCTTATATTATTTAAATCAATTATAATGTAATTAGCATGTTGTAAAACATAAAGAGAAAGCTGCCACTATAACAATCCCAAATTAAGGATAACGAAATATTAAGCACCATGTGGTTTTGAATATTGACAATGTAGATCTTAGATAAGTTACTTTTTTGGACTATAACCCCAGAATCCCTTTAGCTAACAGGGTTAGGAATAATAATGGCTGGGGAATTCTGAGAGCTGTAATCCCAAAAAGTAAATTTTCTGAGCTCTGCTGCAATATTCTTTTTCACTTGTATATATCTGCTCCCATTTCAATGTACTCACCCAGTTATCATTTGGACTTGAAGGACAAGGTTTCTTGGAAGCTGCAAAACATAACATACAGTAGTAACAGCATTGCATATATGTAAGCATATCAAACAAAAGAAAACAGTTTTAAAAAGGGAGGTGTATTACAAATATGGGTGACTTTGTTTTCAGAAGAGTAATTGTTTTTTTGTAAATATTGAAAAGTATAAAAGTACCTTTATCACACTTCAGTGATGTTAAAATTGGAAGTGGGAAAATAATAATATTAAGTACAAAGCAAGACCAAAATGTGGTTATTGATAAGATTCTTTTTAAGCACCATATATTGCATGTACTCATGTGTAAGACTGGAATTTTTAGACAAAAACTGATCCTCAAAACCTAAACCAACTTATCCACAGGTCAATGTAAGTGATTTTTATCAGAAAAGGAACCACCCCCTTCTCCCCACCATGGTGCTGCTTTCAGTCCAAGCATGCCATAGAGTTCCACTGGAGATTTCCAGATAAATATTCCCTCTAGGAACTTGCTAGGTCTTCCAGAGAACTTCTGAGTGAGGTATACCATAGAATTGCCTGAAGAACCCAACAAATTCCTAAGGAGATGATTTTTTTTTTTTGCCAGGTGCGGGAAAGTGAAATTGTGAGTATGGGTTCCATGGTTACAGCTCTCTTGACTGTATAACAAAGCAACACTTCATTGATCATTTCACTGCCATTCATTCTCTGTTTGCAGACAGAGCAGCAATTAAATGTAAGGATGGATTATTCTGTCTATGCTTTGGAAAGAGATTATAAGCTCTCAAAATATTTCAGGGCACCTATTGGGCATCTTATATAAATGAAAACATTACACCAGACATGATCCAAAAGGGATAAGAATTTCTGGAATCAATTTCCTACCAGTCTTACCTGTAGCATAGTCCATACATCCTGTCGCCAACTTCTCTGACTGAGTGCAGCATCTCCATCTTCCATCTATCCAGAAATTGGGGTGAAACTTTGTCACCAGAATGTTATTGTTTCTAGTTTCTGAAACAATTGGATAGATAAGGCTGTTTAATAAAGTGTCAGATACAAGATTATGATGGCCTAAAATATTTGCAGCAGTAAGGGGGAAGAGGCAGGGGTATAGCTGCCCTGGGAGTGGAAGGCAAAATGAGAGCATTGTACCCAAATCAGAATGCTGCTCATTCAATGAAATTTTCCTTCAATTTCCAAATTTTTAGAATTGTGACACCTTGCAACTTTAGTCAAACATTTATCAACATAGTTTAGACACCCAAAGAAAAGAGGCAGATAAAGATACCAAGGGAATATACATAGTGGAATTAAATGTGGATCAGACCAATTCATGAAAGATATTAATGGCTATTGATACCTGTTGGGAATGATGGCTACACATTAGCTTTAATATGAGAGGCAGTATGCCTCTAAATCTAGTTGCTGGCAAGGTGATATTGGGTGCATCTACAGTACTGAATGAATACAGTGACACCACTTTAATGCCCATTGCTATGGAATCATGAGGTTCTTCTAGAGCAGGGGTCCTCAAACGTTTTAAACAGAGGGCCAGGTCACACTCTCAAACAGTAGGAAGGCCGGATTATAATTTCAAAAAACAAAAACAAAACATGAATGAATTCCTATGTACACTGCACATATCTTATTTGTAGTGTAAAAACACTTAAAACAATACAGGAATTAAAATGAAGAACAATCTTAACAAATATAAACTATTAGTATTTCAATGGGAAGTGTGGGCCTGCTTTTGGCTGATGAGGTAGGATTGTTGTTGTTGTTGTGTGCTTTCAAGTAATCTCAGACTTAGTTTGACCCTGAGTGAGGACTGGGCCACTGTGGGAACAGAATGCTAGTTTTTTTCTCTGACCAGCATGACTCTTCTTAGGCTCTTACATTCATATCATCATTGTATAGTATAGTTACCTTTATGTGGTAACTAAATCTATGCCACATGGCTAATTCTACCATTAGACAGAAGAAGGCAATTAGGTCAAGCAGCATGAAGGCCTATTTCTGACTGGCTCCGACCAGCTTCCTGGACACCCCTTATAATGGCCTCACAATAAGGACCTCATCATATATAGCAAGACAACATCTTCTACATTTTTTCTCTCCACTGTTTTTCCTCTACTACTGGAAAAGAGTCAGTCTCATGGAGCCCATTACAAGACACAGGGCAACTTCTGGCAGAACTCCTTGGGGCTCTGTTCCAGGAGCGGAGGCCAGAGTGTCCCCAGAGTAATTGTGTGTTTACCAAACTCCTCATTGAACAATGTGAGGAGGAAGTGGGGTGTGTGTGTGATGGATCTGAAGGGGGAAATAGCGTGGGAAGGCAGAGGACACACCCCAACAGATGGGAACAGAGCCTGACGGTTCCCTTGCTGTCCCACACTTTCCGCTACTTTACCCCGCTTTACCCCTACCTGTCTGATGCGGTCCATATTGGAGGACCCGTCCTATTACAAGTGCAGGGAATGGAAGCAGGATTTTATCATTTGCCTCAGACAGCAAACTATATTGGCCATATCTTAATGTCAAGGCTATTTATATTACTGTTATCATTATAATGATCCTGGAATTAAAGGTGGCCTAGAGGAACTATACTGAGATCAGTTACCTTCTTTCAGAGTCACCACCCATTTCTGACAACTTGCTTGGCTGGGAGCAAACACATACAAGAGATGGCTGTCATGAAAAATCTATGGCAGGGGAGAACACAAAATTAGAACATATTTCAGGCCAAGCAAAGTTGTTAATTTTCTAAACAGCTAGAAGTTAAAAATGGCTTTGCTCTATTAGCTGTAATGGTTCAATGTGTTGTCAAATTAACTCATATTCCATGGCTTGAATAAATTCGGCAAAATGAACAAATCTGAGAATAGTTTCTTGTTCTGCTTCTACATAGGAAGCTCTGAAACAAATAAGAGCTATGTTTTATTTATTGAGTTCTCTCCAACAAGTCTATTAAATTTTGAGATAAATTCCAAAATGTGCCAAGCCAGTTGAGAGTCATAAGACGCTAATTATGTACCATATATTTCGTTTTGTGCTTATCCCACTTCCCATATATCCATATAAAATACACACACACCCAAGTACACATATGCACTTGCTTCTTTTCCCCTCTACAACCTTTCTCTACCTCACGGATAAATGATTAGGGCCAATACAGTGTTCCCTCACTTATCACAGGGGTTCTGTTCCAGGACCCCCCATGATAAGCGAAAATCTGTGAAGTAGGGGCACTATATATATTTTAAATATATTTTTAGACATTTTGTAGTTTTAAAATTAGAAATGCTTTGCCCGACTTACCAGGCAAGGGCCGTTGCGGTGGTGGGTGCCCTCCCGCTGGCCATGCTGCTTGCAGGGGGCTTCTTCTTCCCAGAAGCCCCCTGCACAGCAGGAAGTTTCCCACCATTCGGCCAGCTGGCCAACCAGTGGCAGGTCCCGCCCTGCCCCTGGACTGGCCAGGGCCGGTTTTCAAACTTTGCCCTGGCAGCCTTTGGAGGGCTTCCCTGGGCCTCCGCAGGGCTCCGTGGCCTCCGCAAGGTTGCCACAGAGCCCTTTGAAGTCCCAGGGCAGCCCTGCAAGCAGCGGTTCACTTTCCGTGGACTCACTGTTTTGCGGTTAGTATTTTAATATATTTTAAACATTTTGTGCTTTTCAACCACAAAATGTATAAAATATATTAAAATATTAATTCTCAACCCTAACCGCAAAACAGAGAATCCACGGAAAGCGAACCGCGAAACAGCGAGGGAACACGGTATTACATTATTTCACATTTTAGCCAGAGAAAGGATAAAGGCACTAATAGTAATGGTGCCAAGAGCAGGAGGGAACTGTTGTACAGGAAACACAGAATAGTAAATCCATAGAAAGATGAACATTTTTCCTTTATAGTTTGCCCTTGCCATAAAAGACAACATTGGAAACATCAAGTTTAGAATTAAACATGTTTAGAATTAATCCTGGTTTAATGCAGAATCAGACATGATAAGCAGCCATGTTTGTTTTATGCATGTCTCACTGTCTGGTCTGATCATTACTCAGTAATCAGAGTGGAGAAAAGCCACCGAGTAGTCTTTCTTGCTTATATAAAAGGTGTATTATAAGATTAGGGATCACATCCTCCCTTTTCTCTCTACCTTTGTGGCAAGTAATCTCCCCATACCTATCCTTGCTTTCTATATGAATAATAAAGCCATGAGCAGTGCTCTTACTGGCCCTCAGAAGCACAAGGTCAATGTATCGTCTGAGTAGAGTCAGCCCAACACATTTGCAGGGGTTAAGGGCACAGGATCCCTGTGAAAGTGAAAAACTGTGAAAAAAGAAATGGCTAATTTTTTACCTGAGGGAATACCTCTCTAGGAATTTCTAGGTCTTTCACAATTACTCTAATATCAACCTCTATTAGAAGATGAATATAGCATTGCATTAGAGGATTGAGCAATTCATAGATAATTTTTAAAAATCAAATCCACTGGCATCGATTTATTCCCAGACCTTGAATAAACATGAACACTACAATAGTTTGCAAAATATCCCCAACTGCTTCATTATGTTACATCAGCAAGTATCACCTAAACCTGGTTACCCTGAAAAAAAAAACAATTAAAAGACATAACTATAAAACCTAAATGTATCTGTATGATATACCGGTAAGCCACAAAAGAGAGATACCCAACATCTTATGTAGCCTTTGGTAAATTAGAGCAGTCATCCTCATGTGATTTAATTACATCCAATTCATTGAAACTACATTTGTAATAATTCCTTTCAGGGTTACAGATAAATCTGCATTCATCCATTTAAAAAGAAAATGGTTGCATGCACAATTTTTCAGTAAAAATGATACATTAACAAGGACTTTAGCCACAGGTGCATAAACCACAAAAGATCTCCACTATATATATATATATATATATATATATATATATATATATATATATATATATGGTCAACTATAAACAAGAATGTTTAGAGTCAACATTAATAAGAAATGAATATGAATATAAGAACTTAATACTATGTCACAACCAAAAAGAAAGCATTTATAGAACAATACCAAAAGTAATATTATGAATATTGCAAAAAAATATATATCAAAAAATCAAAATACAGAATGCTATCACAGAACATAATGTGATAAAGGAAATAAAAAAACAAATTAATAAAGTTAATAACCGTGTACATACATACAAAATCAAATCTGAGTTTTCTAAGAACAAATTCTAGCTGACAACATGCTGCTGTTTTGAAATATGCTATATTTGGCCGTTGCTTAGGATGTTGTTTATAATAAAAACTTTCACTTACCTGGAAAGGATATTTGTAGTGACATGGAATTGTAATGTCACTATTCACAATTTCCACACATTTAATCTTGGACAGTTCAATTGAACCTTTTAGAATGTTTTTTTTCTATGGGACAAAAAAACAAACACAGAATCCAGTCAAAACACTATTAAAGGACATTCCTCATCGCATAAAATAGGATGGATCGCCTTTGTGCAAGGAAGGAGGAAAACATGGTGAGATAGCTAAGACAAGAGGGAAGGCAAAGGTTAAACCTTCCCTGTGTACTTTACAGGTCCTTAGAAGCAACTCAAAGAGAGGTGGTATCTTAAAAGTTGTCTAAGAAAATGAACTGTATCCCAAAACCAAAATCGGTTTTGTTATCTCAAAACCAGAAGTAGATCCACCAACCAATGGAATGGGATCCACCTTGCACCACTACACATGTCTATCTGTATATACATATTCTACTACTTATATTAATGTAAATACAATCACTCACTCATACTGAATATCACATTGGTTTAGCCCTTGAATTTCAGTAACATTATTTCTCAAATTATACTGCAGTACTCTTTATTATCGTCATCACCATCAGGAGCAGAATCAGCATCCTATCCTGTCTTTTTACCAGTTTTTGATGCAAGACTCTTTGGTACATAGTATGCTGCTTGATCTTTCCTCAAACTCGACCCCCTTCCAAGGCACCCAATGCAAGGTGGACCTTATTGGTTCAAAAAAACATGTCAAAGAGGTTGGTTCAAATTAATGGTGATGTGCCAGAAAAGCAGTGCCTTATCCTATGCATCCAACCATTGTCCATTGGAACTGATATATAATACAAACAGTGCACAACAGGACCAATGCACAGTAAAAGTAATGCACAATGGGACACTGGCTAGAGAATGCCAATGTATATCAGGTCATTCTTGCCAGTGGCCCATTAAACATTTATACTCTAAACAGTGCATCTTAGATCAGCTGTCATGTTGCTAAATGTTCATAAAGCTATGTAATGAGAACCAAGATAAAGGACTGCAGCCTATATTATTGTATTCTTGTTAACACTGAGCCAGTATGGTGTAGTGATCTGAGTGCTGAACTCTGGAAAGTGATGGTTCAAGTCTCCACTCAGCTATTGATAACCATGGGCAGGTTGCATACACCTTCCCCTCAGTTTAGTTCAGTATCATGAAACATATCATAATGCAGTGCAGTGGTTCTCAACCTGTAAGTTGTCAGATGCTTTGGCCTTCAACTCCCAGAAATCCTAACAGCTAGTAAACAGGCTGGGATTTCTGGGAGTTGTAGGCCAAAACACATGGGGACCCACAGGCTGAGAACAACTGGTGTAGCGGTTTGACCATTGGACTAAGACTGGAGACCATGGTTCAAATCCTCACTCAGTCATGGAAATTCATTGGGTGATGTTGGAACTGTCATATCTCCTCAGTCTCTGAAGATGGTTATGGCTAACTCCACAGAACAAATCTTATTAGGAAAACCATGTGATCGGTTTGCTTTGCAATTGTCATAATTCAGAAATAAGGCACACAACAATATTAGACCTCGTTTACTTTTATTTTCTAGTCTTCCTATGGTTATGTGCCATAGCTCATCTCATCCAGGCTGCTTATCTGCCAAACCGAACTGCTTTTCAGCACCCACATCTGATTAGAATGAGTCTCATAACACAACCTCAACAATGAGTTTTGTTTCCATGGAAGCTTATGCCCTTCCTTGACTTTGCTGTGACTAACTAGCCTAATTATTTCTTTGGAAGTTGTTGCGGCACTTCAGCAAACAACTACACTGAAAAAGGAGCATTATCTCAACTGATTTAATGCTGATAAAAATGCACATTCTTTTGTTCTTAAGCCTGGGTGAAGGTGTATTTTTTATTTTCTAGGCTTTTGGATTTTTAATTTAACACAATTTTATAATAGTGTATATTTTGATTATATGTATATGCCACTTTGCTTCATATTGCATTGGTTTGCATTTATATATGGATAATTTAACAACCGTATTGCATAGTTTTATTTATGTGTTGCTTTTCAATTCATATGTGTTTGTGTTGTGCAGGGCTGTTTGTCGCTGTTGATGTTTCACTGCAAAGCGCAATTCATAGTGATGGCATAAGACCTGGGTCTTTCCAGGTGTGGGCTCTGTGTGAATTGGGCCTAGGATTGCGTTGCGTGACTTCTGGGCCTGGTCCACACAGCTGTCTCAAGATTTCTGGGCTGCTGGAACCTGGAAGCCACAAGACAACACCCACCCCCACTCCCACCCCACCCCCTCGAAAAGGCCTCAAAAATAAAAAATTACTCACAAGGCCACCATTACCGTGCTGCTGGAGCTCTCCTGGCATGTAGAAATGATGTGCCAGGAGAAGCGGGGACATAGGACCGATTTTCCTCCTTTTTAATTTTGAAGTTTTTTCTGGGGGGTTTTCTACACCACCTCCCCCAAAAGCACAGTTTTTGGTGTGTGTGTGTGGACTCTAATCCGTGCCCTATCGGGTTTCTTAAATTCAATCAGACACGGATGAATGGGATGAATATGAAAGGGTGATATGGCTATGTGGAAGCCCCCTCCCCTGTCTGCTTTCAGCCTTCATATCTGTTCCCAGGCTCATAATGCAAAGTGAATGCAAAAATTGTCCAACAAGATCACCAACACAAACAAGAAGGCCCTTTAAATAGCAAGGTAACATTTCAAATAGTCATTTCTCCAAGCACAAACAAACTTTTTGATCCACAAACATCAAAGCACAACAAAGGCAACAGGACAAGCAAAGTGTTGTTCCCAAAACTGCAAGAGATCCCACTGAAAGGGAAAAAAAACTCCAAGGAAAGATAATTTTTCAAAAGGAAAAGTAGCAAAGAATTTACAATGGAAAAGTAACAGGTGTTATATGACAATTTTGAAAATAATAAACATGTTATTAAAACTAATCAAAATATTATTAAAGCTGACTTTCTTGGTGAGTAAAAAGGAAGTATGGCAGGAAATACTGCAGGGGAAAAGGTTTACAAAAATAGGTAATGGATCCATATTTTTGCAGTCCTCTTACTGGTTACATTGCATGTTGTTTTAAATGTTGTCATTGTACTATGTCATAAAAATAGTAACAAAATAGTAACAATAATCTGTCGCTTTTTTGCTCTTACAAAAGTGGTTGGTGGTTGGGTTCTGTCAGCAATGAAAGGAGAAAAGGAATAATAATAATAATAATAATAATAATAATAATAATAATTTATTTGTATTCTGCCCTATCTCCCCGAGGGGACTCAGGTCGGATTCCAGGCCTGGGTAACAACGGAAAAATTTGTTTCTAAAATCGATACGTTTTTTGGGGGTTTTTGCGTTTCGATATTTAAAAGAATTCCGAAATTTTTCTTTTAAAAAGTTCGATATTTACGAAATTTCGTAAATGTTAAAAAAATTACGAAACATTAATGAAACAAATACGAAACAATAACGAATCGATTCGTTAATGGCGGACGCGACCGCGCAATACGCTAAAAAACCTCCAAATGGGACAGGGGGAACTTCTGAAGCTTCCCTCTCCCTCTGTTGTTGACTGTTGGTGTGATATTATAATTTTTTTTCACTAATTAAACAAAAAACAACTATAAAACTTGCCCCAGACATGCGGAAATAATAACGAAACGACCTCAAACCCATAACAAAACGAACACATAACGAATCCGAAGCATTTACGAAACGAATTTAAAAATTAATGCCTTGAAACAATGAAACACACACAGATAAAGGCTTTCTCTTTCATCTCTGGCTCTGGGGGGTGATGCCAATCTCCATTTCTAAGCCAAAGAGCCTGCAATGTCTGTAGAAATCTCCTAGGTCATGTGACCAACATGATTGCATGGAGCACGTTTACCTTCCCACTGAGGTGGTACCTGTTGATCTACTCTCATTTGCATGTTTTCAAACTGTTAGGTTGGCATGAGCTGGGGTAACATTGGGAGCTCACTCTGTCCCACACAGGCCCGTAGCCAGGATTTTGTTTTGGGGGGAGCTGAGTTTGATTCGGGGGGGGGGGGGTGAGTCTGAGTGAAAGAGGGTCTACCCTAGCAAACCTTTTGTATCGTTACCCCAATACCCCCATGCATATGGGATGTATTGAGCATGGTGATCAGATCATGATATGAATAAACATAACAGTTTAAATAATGTACCAGTAAGGCCTTTTCGCAGACCACCATGAGAATTTCGGGGGGGGGGGGGCTGAAGCCCCCCAAGCCCCCCCCCCGGCTTCAGCAATTCAACAGTTTAACCCATTGTGCCACTGCAGAAGACTATTATGACATTTCCAGAATAAGTAACTAACTATTCATCTGTTTGTTATAGATTTATCTGAAATGTTTTTAAAATGTCAAATAGTGTCCCTAAGGAAGCTGAGGTTTATATTTTGCTGCATTTCGGCAATTCCATAATGGGATTTATTGACAACTCATCTCAACATCAGTAATGTCAGTGAACAGATTTTTGGCTTTTTTGTTTATTATTTGAGGGTCCATATCCCGGTTAAATATTCTAAAGTTGTTTCAAGAGTATTTGACTGAACAGCAAAATGTACAAGGGCAAAATGCATCATGTTCCCATTTGGGTTTTGATCCAAAATATATATTTTCACCAAGTGCGTATATGACAAGAAAATAAAAATTAAACTGATTAAAAGATTTATTTATTTTATTTCGTGTACTTCTACTCCGCCCTTCTCAACCCCCGAGGGGGGACTCAGGGCGGCTTACAAACAGACACAATTTGCTGCCTACACAGTAATACAAAAACGCATAAAAACAGCAATTAAACAGTTATAACAATTAAAACAATCAATATATATCACAATCAATAACCAATATCAAGCTCAGCGTTTGCCAACTCAGAGTCCATATTTCATTGCACATTGTCTATTCCTATCCGTCGTCATAGTCCTTTATTTATCTGCCAGATTGCCCAAACGCCTGGTCCCAGATCCATGTCTTCATGGATTTGATTAAATTAAAAAGTTCTCATGGTTGACCTTTAGGATCATTGCATTAGATGTCAAGCAGCAGTTTATTTACAATAAAGCTTTATCAAGGAAAAGAATTGATGAC